ATATATATATATATATATATATATATATATATATATATATACGTTGTCTGGGTATTCATGCAATTGAACACGATACTTCTTGACCTCGAAGTTGAGTATTTGAACTCTCAGTATGATTCATGTTCTGTTTTATTTTATGCTCTCTTGACTTTATTTTATGATTTTGAAAAGGAAAGAAAGTATATATTTAGTTTTTTTTTTATATATAACATATAATATGATATTGACAGAGTTAATAGTATATTAAAATCAGAACTATTAGTCAGTTAATTATTAGTTTGCTTATATTTTATATAGGTCAAACATAGACTTTAAAAACTAAATCAAAAAACTTAAATTTAATAGATTTTAAGGACATGAGTTAATAATTTATAATATAATAATAATAATAATAATAATAGTATGAATATTCTTACATCTAAATATATTGGATCGCTAGAACGGTACTCGCGCAATATAAAAGATGTATTTCAATTTTAATGTTTTTCGATATTATAATATAATTTTATATGATACTGAAAAAACGATATTGTTTTTATTATTTTGAATAAAATATAAATTTGAAGGTATCATAAAATTTTGAAAAAAAAATGTATCAATTTTAGTATCAAATTAAATATTCAAAAGTTTTTGTTTTTTTGTATAATTTCTTGCATTCTATTTTTTATTATAATTTAATTTAGATTTAATAATAAAGTCATTTATTTTTTATTTAATAATATAATTTTTATATAATATTTAGTATTTTGTTAGAATTCAATAATTATCTTGAATATGTTTTAGATTTTTTATATTTAAAATGAGATACTAATCCAATATTTGATTATTTTTATCTGCAGTTAGTTACACAAATTCAAACATGAAACTTTAATAAATTGTACATACAAACAATTTATATATAATCTTGAATTTCAAGTAATATGCATCAATAAACAGTATTTAATGCATAAAAATAGTTTTTAGAAGTTTTTATCAAATGCTTTATAATATAATAAAGATATTATCATAAACTTGGTTAGAAATTTATAAAGAATATATCAATAAAACATCATTAACCAATTAGATACCTTGTAATTATACAAGTGATTGCATAAGCTTGTTCTTTTCAAGTTTAAGTGCTTTTTCATTAACATATATATATATATATATATATATAGAGAGAGAGAGAGAGAGAGAGAGAGAGAGAGAGTGTGAGAGAGAGAGAGAGGAGTGAATCAAGCCATTCAGATTAATAATTCTTTTTCTTTAATAAAAGTAATGTATCGTATCAACTTGCCAACCCAAAACCTTATTATAATTTTCACAACTTGTAATGGGTTGAAATTATTTCAAAGTGCCTTAATAAAATTGAGTTGTTTAAATGTTGCAAAATGTAAACCAAACATGTACATAGGGTGTAAATAAATGACGCTATTAATAAGCTCAAGTCAATCTCGAACATAAAAAAGAACTCGTTGAGCATAACGAGTCAAGCTTCACAATACTAATGTTTGACTCAACTCGTTCAAAAGCTCCGATTAAATTTTTCAAATCAAGTCAAACCATTCCATCGTACACTTTTTTTTTCGAGCTAAAAAAGCACATATATTCATAAATCATACAATAAAAATTCATCAAACTTGAATCAATAAACAAGTTAATCGATTGTGAGTTCGAACCCACAAACAAGCATCAAGTTCAAGCTCGAATTCAAATAACATTCGAAATTCGAGCTCAAGCACTACTTAAAAAAAAGTTATTCAAGCTCGAACCTAGTATTGTTTTTCAAACTAAGCTCAAACAACCTACTGCTCGACTCAACTCGTTTACACCTCTTTACACCCTTTTTTTCATCCCAAAAAAAAAAAAAACAAAATCAACAAGGTTTTACTTCTCACAATCTGGGTATGCCAAAGGGAGGTGGAGAAAAGGTATGGTCTCCCTTCAAAAGGATCAAATGGGCAAACCACACTTGTTTTCATTTGTATGTAATCAGCATCTAAAAAAGAAGTTTCAGCATATATCATCATCAACAGTACCAACAACCATCACCAAAATCATAAATTAGATCACTTCAATTTCACCAAAAAACAAATATTGTGAACAATAACCAACATGTAAAGGATAGGTTTGCCTCATCAACAAATACAAAACATTCAAAATTTTGACTAACATGTAACATCTTCTAGTAAAGAAAGAAAACGATGACAATATTTCAACGCTTACCACCACCACCTCCAAGTTTAGGTCCCTTACCTTTAGGCACATTGCCACCCTTCCCTTGAGTCTTTTGTTTAGATACTACCTCTGCTTTCTTTGCTTTCTTCTCATCCTTGGTTTTCTTAATCCTCTCCTTGATTTCTCTGCAATTTATATATAACATTATGTGCATACCTAATTTATCAAGTGATAACAATCATACATAGCAATAGACAGCAATTCATACCGAAGAGCTGCCTCCCTAGCAGCATCACGGACTTCTGGTTTCTCGGCTCTTTTCTTCTGAATAACTTCCAAGGTTGCACCAACGATAGCCCTAGAGTAAGGCTTCTTGGTAGCACGACGCCTCTTCCTAACCGCTTCTTGTGCAATGTCCTGTTGTATTTATTGGATTGAAGGGAAAGAGTAAGAAACCATTCAGATATTAACAACAGATTAACCAAAAAGCAAATTTCTTTTACCTTCTTGTGCTGCTTTCTGAACATGGCAGTCCATGTAAGCTTTGAGGGCTTCAGCTTATTGTGGAAGTACCTCTTGCATTTAGAATTTGCAAACAGGAAGACCTAAATTGGGAACAAGTACAAGTTTCAAACTTTTGAGGTTAGATAAAAGAAGCAAAACAGTGACCAAATTGTATGCAAATAACAACCCACAAATGCATACAAGAAACATACACTAATGAGTGGTTCATCAAACATGGAAAACAAATGAAATAATGTTTCTTTTATATACCTGAGAGTCAGACCGAATGAACCTAATGCCCCTGCCAGGATAAATCTTCTGGCCACTGAAACGGCAGAGCTCAGTCCTACATAGAAAGCAAATAAAATATCAAATTAGAACCAATACTAATAGCATCACTGAGAAACATCAAATACAGATGCACAATATGATGTGGTTATAATGATTAGAACTCATATACCATCCCCAATAGAATCTAAAACAAAAGACCAAATTTCAATATCCTATTGACAAACAACATAGGTTTTAGGGTGTAATTGTCACAAGTTAAATTACCCAAACACAATTTAGCCCTGAAAAACCAAACATATAAAAATGAAATATCGTCCCCGTATGAACAAGAAATCATGTGTACAGATACTGAGAAAAGCTCAAAATCGCAAAAGCATCTATCATTGGAGATTTAATGCAAGCATATCATTTAACTCCCAAGATCTGATCGATGGCTTTTCAAACCCTAGTATACCAACAAATCATGTACCAGTAATCTGGTTTCAAGAACATCTCACTAATTTAGGGGCTACTCAAAAAACGATAGTAATCTTATGAAAACGCATTTCCAATTATATATTCTGAGGGAACTGATGATATAACACTAAAGTCTAACAGATCTTCCGGTTCTTATCGACCAAACAACCAATAGAAGCTTGCAATACAGAAAAGATGGATGAAGGATTAGGTTTAATTGATCAAATACAATTAAGAAAGGAACGAGAGATTGAGAGAGATCATACTTGAGAACCATGGCGGCCGCAGCTTACCCTTCTTACGTGACGAAAATGAATAAAACCCTAGGACCCCCAATTCTCACGGTCATTATATAGCATACCAGCATCGGCATCATAACTAGTTCTAGGGATTTTAATTTTAACAATACATCCTTGTGGAAATAAAAATGGCGATTTTAACCCTTCATTTTTGTCTTATCTTTTTCGACCCTTTTACTTCCTCCCTTTTCTTTCTAAATACAATTAATTTACAGTATTTATATATGCACCACCAAACAATTTATTATTGTATTTACGCCACTATCTTTGTGTTTTTCTTTTATGAAGACTGTAACAATTTATTTTGAAAATTACAGTAAAGTACTGAGAATATGATCGAACGTTTATCATATCATGTTTTGGGTGATAAACATTCACACTATGTTCATTTTCGGGCAACAATTAGCATATATTCCATTAATTGATTGTAGTTTTGATGATGAGGCATAGTTATAGTTCGATTTTGTGTATAGTTTTGATTTGCACAAAGTTTTGGGTTTGTTTGTTCGATTGTTCACAACAATTTGGGTTTGTTGGTTTGTTTTTACAGTTTTGTGTTCTCCATCTCCAAAAGTAGATGAACAATTGATTTTGGAAACTTTTGTTATTCATCCTTTTCGATCTTCATCCCCAAATTTATATTATTTAGCTCTCTAAACTGATGTATTTTAATTGAATTTAAATGTGTTAAATACCATTAATGACATATTTTCGTTTAAATGAATGTTAATTATATGGTTTAGATGTAAATTTCGTAATAATGATGAATAAATTTGTGAAATTGTATAAATTATCTATAAATTCATCACTATAATTTTATAATTGGTAAAATAGACAATTTAAAAAAATTAAGAGATTTTTCAATTTACAAAAATAGACTGTCTTATTAATTTAGATTTCAGACTTCCGCATCATCTCTTATTAATTAGAAATAAAATAAGACTTCTGACTTCAGCACATCTTAGAAAACAAACAACACCTTAGTATTTACAATTAAATTGTTGATAGTACAACTAAACCTGAAGCATAACTCAAGAATAAATTATCTATGGCGTGTAACTCAGTTGGCCTGCTAGTCTCAACCGCTGAGTACATCAAAAAAATGTCTCTTACATTGGTGTCAGTGGAGGCAGATTGCCTATAGAACCGTTTACGGTTGCCAGTAATCAACTTTTTACCCAAAGAAGTCAAGAATAAATTATTATAGAGATAAACAATCAGATACCTAGTTTTAAATGTAGGAATATGTGCTTCATCTTTAACTTGGACACCATTGGAAGACTTGACATCCCAAACGAGAGTCATCGGTGAAGAAAATGGAGAGAAGAGGCAACGAAGAGGAAGATCGAAGTGAATTTACTGATTATCCTTCTGGGTTCGTATAGTTATGTTATGTTTTTTATTTCAAAATATTTCGTTTTACCAAATAATATATTATTTATAACAAAAACAATGGGTAAAATGCAATATTCAAACAAAATACTATCAAACGGTTATATTTTTATATTAAAATTATTTAGAGTCTTATCAATTTATCCGTTCAATTTTATCAAAAAATATCGTAAATTTCATGTCTTTTAAATCTTAAAATCATTAAAAAAAATTGCAACAGATTTAATGTTTTCATATCTATCTGATAGAAAAGGATCCCATGATCCTGGACCGATCTTACCTGGGATCGCAACTTTTCTGATCCAAATATATCTTGTCTTTACCACAAACGAATTTCCTTGATTAACAATAATTCTAGTTTTACCAATATTTGTGGGTTCCTTAATTTTCTTTCTTCTACATAAAAGGACGGTGATCGTCCACCTTTAATAAATTAAAATTTATAAACATTTTTTATTTTTTTAAAAAGAAAAACAGTTTTATAATAAAAATGATGACGTGGAAAGGTGAATCGTCTATTCGACCTTTGACCTCTGTTTTGGTGTGGAAATTATTGTGTGGATCACGAGAGGATGGTATTCCCCAAAACAAGAGTTGACATGTTTCATTATCATTTAAACCATTTGTCTGCGATTATTATGTGAGCCGACTAATTTCAGGGACGTTCATTTGTTTTGCAGGTAATCTAAAGTCATCGTATTTGAACTTTCGTGGCCATAAGAGGATTTTTGTTCCTCCTTTGATTTGAACTTGAGACCTCCTGACATTTTTGAATCGCAATTTTAATATCTATAGTTTGTTGTTTTTATTGATTAACTGGTTGTGTATCCGTGTAATGCGGCAGGATGTAAGGATTTTATTAAGAATATTCAATTTAAATGTCAAATTTTTTGCAGGATATCTATAAAGTACTTGTTAGTTCACATGTAAATACGAATATGCAATCACCACAATCATCATTAATTGATTACGATCCATATAACCTTGCAAATACAAAAACATCGTATTATGTTTCATGCATGACATAGATCTTTAACATATAATTAAAACAACATAAACATCAAGTTAAACAACCAACACTAAAGAGTGACATAATATCAAACTGAACATATTAAACTTCCAACCACAAGGGTAGTACCTGATTGGTTTGAATTTGACTCCAAATGTCAAAGGTACCAGGAGGTCTCAGGTTCAAATCCAAGTAGGAATAAAAAATCTCCTTATGGTCACGGAGGTTCAAATGTGGTGACTCCAGGCTATATGCAAAGCAGGTGGTTGTCCTGGGATTAGTCGGCTCGCATAGCGGGTTGAATATCCAGGTTAATTAAAAAAAACATATTAAGCTTCCAAAAAACTCGTACATACAAAACACCAAAAAAGTGATAAAGTTTCATACTCGTCCATATAAAACATCAAAAAAGTGATGAAGTTTCATATTCGTCCATACAACATCGGTCTAAATACTGCATCAATGTCAAACATCACCTGCTTGTTTTAAGTTAAGTTGGCATGCCGTAAAGTTAACCCATGACTCACACCTTTAATCCTTCAAACGTAGCCAAATTCTCCTATAACCTATGTTTTGGCTAAAAAAGAAAAGTGTGATGTCATAGAACCAACTATCCTCCCAAACAAGTTTCTCCAATTTCGTCATATAAGCGTTCATATCACCGTCCTCCGATGGTTTGTCAAAAATGGTTTTCACATGTGTCGTCACATGAGCCAACTCATCTTCCCTTACCAATGGTTGATTAGCTTTTCATTTTCTGGTTTGAGAATGAGAGGAACATTTCTGTGTCGGGCTAGATAGTTCTTGAGTTGAATTAGGTGGTCCTTGAATTGAAATAGGAGGTGCTTGATCTGAATTAACAGGTGTTTGTGTGGTATCCAAGCCTTGATCATCAACAACTAAAGACGGGTTAGAAAAATTAGTAGCACGCGAAGGATTATGAGAATCACACCAAGGTCCCCAAGTACCCATACTCGTGACCGTCACTCTATCAAAAATTTACGCACAAAGATTAAGATAAAGTAGTGGTGCATTCCTCAACTTGTCAGCATATTCACTCAACTGTTTATGAAAAAAGTAAAAACATATAACTAAAAGAAAATTTCAAAGAAATTAAATTACAAAACCAGAAAAAGAATTGACATTTGCATCTGCCTTTCACTCCTCTTCATATAGACTGAATGTGTTGTTTGTTGGGTTATTGACATTACCCGCTTTATTTCTTAGTCTAGACCATACAACGTATTTTCCTTTCAAATAATCATAATGATTCTTCATTTGTCTTTGATTGACAATGGAGTTGTGAGTGTTTTTTAACGTTTCCGTTATATTATTCCATGAGTGCATCTTAAGGCTACCGCCTTGGATTTCATTCATGGACATCTCTTGTAGACAACACTCCAAGAAGGTTTTTACCATGTTCTCTTTCCAACTAACCTTGATTTTTTGGGTTCCTATGATTGATCATACGATTCCATATATATGTCAAAAAGACCCAAACATTTCAAGGTCTTCATTATCCATCATGTTTTCAGTAACAAAGCATACAAAAACAAAAACACCAAAAAAACCAACAATATTGACGATAGTAACTAGAATTCTAAAGTATCCATGTCAAGAAATGATAAAGAAAGATCATAAACTATTGAGATCACTGAAACAAATTCCATCAAATATGTAGTCAAATCCAACGAAAATTGATCACATGGAATGAGGAATTAGACCTCTCAAAATAAAAATAAAAAAGAATAATGGTAAAAATAATGCTCAATATGCCTTTTTTAGAACAAGTTGTACACACAAGTGAAAGATGACAACAATTATGTAAAACAAGTTGTGCACAACAAGTGAAAGAACAAAAATAAAAATAAGTGTAAAAATGAAAAACAAACAAAATAGATAATCCTTGTCGAACCCACTTGTAACACCCTAAACTTAGATCATAAATTTTTGGCAAAAGTCTGGCATGACCCATTCGAAAACTCATGTTTTGCCATTTTTTTAACCTGTAAACATTTGCAAAAGTAATGATTGCAAAATAAATGGCTATACAAAAGCCACAATTACTAACTAGTCTTTATAAATACGACTATCTACAAGGTATGATGCTTCTTGATTTAACCCATTTAGATGTACTTGTGCCAGCGAATTTGAGTTTTGTTAAATTCCGTTGCCTGGTTTCTGTATTAAAATTTTGAAATCTGAATCAATAGTTTGTTTTTTTTAAACTAACAAGCCTGAATATGTATAACCGTCTATTTTATCCCTAAAAGTGAGACCCATAGAAAGAGACCTTTGCACGAAAAAAAAATTGAACAAATCTTTTAATTCCAAAGTGAGACACATAAAAAGCACAATGGGTAGTTTCATATGAATCAATGGGTATAATACAGAGGCAGACTAGTTGGTCAAAAAACTTTTTGGATACATGCCTTCTGTGTTCCATATCAAAATAGAAAAAAAGGGATATGCTTCAAAGTTTTCAAGCTCCTAAAATCTATATTTGTGGTTAAAAAGTTCATGAAACTTACAACTAAAGATTTATGAAGCATTCATACAAGAAACATGAAATTGACATCCTTGAAATCTGCTAAAATTATAACCAAAAAGGAAAAAGGATAAACAATAAAACCCGTATAAATGAAGTTAGGGGCTGACCATATAATGGTTAAAGAAGATCTGAGTAGCACCAGTGGATTTGGTGGCACCAAGAAGAGAAGAAACACTATCAGAATATCTCTTCGGTGATAAGAGAAGTTCCAAGATTCTTTAAGGATGAATCAATGATGGCCTTCTTCTTCTTTAGATGCCCATATGAACACTGCTATTACTTTACCTGCTCTTACACCATCAGCTAGAGCAAGGTTATCTTCTACGCTTAGATCTCTCCTAAACCATACTATATATATTAACAAGAAAAATGTAAATAACACTTTGGAATGCTACAAGGATGAACATCGGAACATGTATGTTTCACTGCAAAATTGCAGTGCAAGAAACATCTGGGCAATAATTTAAAAAGGGAATTCACCAAATACAAATCAAATTTGCACATGTCGTAATTTGTAAGATTACATCACAAACATACATTCTACACAATCAATTCCATTATGAATTGTGTTGAAGAGATGAGGCACGAGGAGGGATGAGGCGGGAGAAGTGAGGAGGAGCGAGTAAACAGATGAAAACCTAATCGCACGTTTTAGGAAGGGCACACTCTAGAAACACAGGAACTGACTGGGGTAAGCATCATTTTGGAGTTGACATAGTAGGTTTTTGGTCAGTATGGTCATATTTTAGTCAGATTTTAATTTTGGTAAACATACTGACTACTGATCGAGTCAGTCCAATCAACAGCTAATAAACAGCCCTTAAATCTCTAGGATCCAAATAGATAGTAACAATACACACTTAAATCAAATAAAACATTTGTTGTGCATTATATTTCTATTTTTGATCAACAAAATCATAATATCTTGAATTTAAAATTCTCAAATAATGTCTATGATAAAAAAAGATATATGTTTATTAATTAATAAAATTTCAAATTTACAATCAATAGTAAAGTGAATAAGGAATACCATCCATCACAAAATCAAAAGTTAAAGATTTAATATTTTAATATTCAATATTTAGCATTTAATATTTATTTTGAAACAGGGAATAAAAATCATATTTTATAATCAGGGTCGTCCTTTAACATGTTAAATATGAGATTTTGAACAGGGCCTTCGAAATTTTGGGACCCAAATTTACATGTATTCAGGGTCTTTTTATCGACCTGTATAAAAGTATAGCCGGAATTATTTATGTTCAAACCTTTAATCGTTTGGTTTTAGGTTAAAATCATTAATGGTTTATGTTTAGTTTCAGATTGTTAATCATTTTAAGTTTAGTCTAGTTTTATTCTTAACATACATTGTCTGTTATCTCATTTATATAATATAATCAAAAGTTTTAAATATAACAAGGTCTCCAAACAAATTAAAACGTCATTGTTTATAACAAGATACGTACATGATTTTTTGTAACCGTTTGCAAGATATTTTGGTGGAAAGCCAAAAATATCTCTTTGAGTAAATATCAATTTAATGACACTTTTTTAACTTAGAAAATAAATGATGCTCGGATATTTTCTCTGACGGTTCGCCTTCACAATTCTCGCCAGTAAGAAGCTGTATGGTAATCGCTCCTCCACCAATCCTGACCCTCCACAAATGCTCCTATGACACGTGTAAATTCCTTTGGGCGCGTGTTACACACCCACCTGCGTTAGCGCGTGGCATTTACATTTAGCATTTCGTAGCGTGAAAAAAGGCCTAATAATAAAGCGAGACAACTCCATTATAAAAGGCGGATCTGCAATATCTCCAAGCGGAGAGAATCACTTCGACGATAAATATCTTCCGACGGTCGACCAAATTCGTGGTGGTTGTAATGGATGCTAATAGAGCTAGTAAAAGTTGTCGATGGACAAACGATAGGCACCTTCATTTTTTGAAATCTGTAGAGGCTACGTTCGTTCGAACAGTACTAGAGGACGGCGGTGGTGGCGGTCGTCTTCTTCGGATGGATCGGTACTTGCCGGATAGTTGCGAATCGACTTTAGACTCGAAGACGACGAGTTGTATGAAGCGAAGAAAAAGGCATTTTCCGTCAGGTATGTTTGATGATGCAAAAAGCGGATCGGTTCATCGGCCATTTAGTGTTTGTTAGTTTTGATAAAATTTTAAAATAATACTTGTGCAAAACATGATTTTGTTGTGTAAACAAAATTTGTATGAAGAACATAGATCACAATCTAATCATTTGATCAAATATAGTTTTAAACATTATATTTGTATTTGCGTAATTGCATCCAGTTAGTGTTGCTAGTTTCCTTCTTAAGTTTCCAGTAGTCGTTCCTCCTGTCCTGGAGAAGATTTTGATTGCAAAAGTAAGGGAGAAAACATTGAAAGTTCAGTTAGATCTTGCATTTTTGAATACAAATTGCAGATGAGATTGAATTTTACAACTCAAATTTGTTTCAATAATACATTTTCATTCATCGCAACGACGGATCTTCAATTATTAAACAACCACTAGATGTTAAAGAAGAGAAAAAATAAAAGTTAATTAAGGTGACAAAAATATACGATAATTACAGTGCTTATTGGTTTAACTCATCTACATGAGGATAAGGAAAAGATATTTTGAGGCTGCCATATTTGATATTTTATTGGTTTTAATTTAATAAAAGCGTTTCCAATTAATTAAATTATGTATTGTTTGAATATGATTAGATAATTTGGAAACGAGCATAAGAGTCAGAAGATTACGCCTCCATCCATTCTATCCTTCATCTCAAGACGATCAGGTATTATTATTATTATTATTATTATTATTGTTATTTTAATCATTATTAAATATCGATGGTTACATATATAAACTTAATTCGTTGTTAAAAATCACAGGTAGTTCCAGAGATAAAACCGGCAAACATTAATGATAAAAAGTGGAGCAATTCGTCATCGTCATCCTCTTAAAAAGCATGCATGCATCATTCAATTCACCGATGGAGATGAGATTTTGTTTTTGATGTAATGTAGGCAACAACGAGTTGCTGCTAATTGTTTGGATATTTAAATTACTTATTAATTAATTAATTAATTAATCCATTGATATATAAAATCACCAAATTCATTATATCGTTTTCTTAGATATTTTAGCAAACAACCAAACCCTTAAAGATCTCTTGCTATTTAAAATGAAACATTCAATTAACGTTTTATATTTTTTTTTTCAATGTAAAATTAATTAATATAATACAAAATTATTTTTGGGTGTTACGAGAGACTACAAATTTTGTATTTATTTTATTTATTAATATTTTTGAGCTATTATAATATACTAAAAAAATTGAACCCATATTTTTTGTGGGTCGACCTGCTCTCCTAGGGACGGCCCTGCCTCTCATTAATTTCTTGGTGGCTATTATAAAAAATGATTCAATTAAGGGTAAATATATGTGATCACTAAATAAATTATTAGATAATTATTTTGACATGATTTCACTTGAACGAAAGTTGCATCTATTAACTTGAAATATATGTGGTAATAAAAATTAGTTTCAAATGTGTGTGTTGACGATAAAGTTATAGATTCGATCAAATTTAGTCTAAAAGTCAGATACTTTACAAACAAAAAGTATATGAAATGATAAATCAATTAAATAACATAAAATAAGAATGATGATAATGTATTTGTGAGTGCGGACAGTGAAGGTAGGAAAATATTTATGACTTATATGATCTTCGATCGATTCTTACGAGTGTTTCTAACCAATCTTAGTCGTAGTTGGTCCCCTTTTTTTGAAAAAAAATTGTAACTGGCCCCTAAAGCCTGGTCCTTTCAATCGGATATTTTTAAAAGATATTTATTTTTTATATTTTATATAAATATATATTTTATTAACTGTTCTGTAAAAAAATTATATTTATAATTTGTATTTCAAGCAAACTAATTTTTAAATATTTAACATACAACAATTTAAAAAAAATTACTTTGTTAACCGGATCAAATATTTAATTTATCGATAACTAAAATATGAGAAATATGGGTTCAAGAAAAGGACAATTGCTTATTTCAAGTTTTGACAGTGTTATGATTTGTACGAATCAAACAATTATTTATACTCATACAAAATGATGAAATGGTTCAAGAGTACTGTCATATGAATGATTTAATGTGATATAGGAGACGTAACCATTGCATGGCTGCAAATCACTTATCGATATCTTTTCTTTAGATTTTGGGAAAAGTACAAAAATGAAGGCTTGTATGCACATTTTAAAATAAATATAGTATTTAATTATATATAATATAATGATAAAAAGACAAAATATCGTGTGAGAAGTAGAGTTAAGTTGAGAAGTGTAACAAAGAAGATTTTGAGCAGGTTTGATGAGGACATCATAAGTTTAAGTGAGGGAGATTGTAATAACTCATCCCACATTGATGGAAAATGGGATTTGTGAGCTCTCTGTAAGGATCAAGCAATGACTATCAATAACTTGCATTATGGTTTTTAGTTGGATTCGAAATTATTGGGTCAACTTGTTGTTTTGGGCTTTGGGGTGTTACATGTATTGAACAAATTGTCTGAAATATGTAAATGACCACTTTACCCTTATATATCAGAGTTTCAAAAAACATCATATATTTCTTTTAGACATTTTATCGAACATCTTGTTTACGGTTTTCATTTACCAACTTTAGCATTCATAGTACAAAGTTTATCACCTTTTATGTATTTACATTTACATATTTATGTTGATTAAAGTCGTTTTTCATGTATGCCTCAATAATTAAACCCAGATGTAGAAGCCAAGCTCGAGACCAAGATGTGAGAAGCCAAGATTGAAAATCATCGTTCCAACTAATCTCTATGTGGACGTGTGGTGGGATGCTTCGTTGTTGAGAGTCTGGATTTCTTTTTCAAAAAGAGGTAGAAATAGAATAAAAATGGTTGTATCTATAAAGGTTACCTCTGGAGCTGTTGCATTAAGCCATCCGCTTAATAAGCAAGCCACAAACAAACAGGTGAAAATAGTTGCACGAATAAGTCATATGCTCCATTAAGTTCTTTCCAAAGAGCCTCTAACACTTATTAATGAGCACTTACTCCATAAGTATATGATAAATGACGCTTTTAAAAATAATAAAACTTTGATATAACAATTTTTTATCATTTTTATTAAAGATTGTTATATTATTATTCAATATATTAATCGTCATAAATAAGTATAACGATTTTAAGAATGTTTTTGTAAATTACATAAAAGTTAAAATTATATGTTCTTTTTGTTTCATAAATAATAAAGCTTTGATATTAATTAACTAAGATATGTAAGATCGATCAACTTTGTTTATTAATATTATATGTAATGGTTATTTGAAGTCATCACTTCATGTAAATATTTTCCAAAATTTGTATTTGGTTATACAAATCCAAAAAAAAAACAAAAAATTTGACATTTGAAATCTATTAATTAACATTCTCTATTATTTAGTTTTTTTTTTAATATCTGATTTATATTGATTAACATATTATATTACTACTGAGTTGTTTTAAATATATTATGCAATGTTAAAATTTATTAATTTTTAAACATGTCTTTTTTGGTAATTTTAGATTTTTCAACTATCTTATCAGTTAGTTTCTGTCAGATATATTTAGTTCATTTTATCAAGTAGTTTGCCAAACATAGCAGGCTACCTAGGCACGAGAATGGTGAGGGGATGAGGCGAGGACCTCAATCCCCGTCCTAGTCCCCGATTACTTATCTCTATCCCCGTCCCCATCCGCATGCCCGCCGGGGAATATAATCACATCCCCATCTCCAACGTCGAAACAAGGATTTTTTTTCCGTTTATATAGGTTATTTTAAATTAAATATGTGAGAGAGACCATACGTATTTAAATCTCAAACATTTTCAATAAACCTAAAATCAAAATGAATTTAGTTTAATACAAAAAAACCACGAAATCAAGAACTAATAACCTAAAACCAAAAAAAGATTTCAATTTAATCCAAAAAAACTTAAAGTCACATGTACCAAAAGATATCGAGTAATATAAAACCATATCAAGTAATATACAAAACTTATCGAATAATTTTATTTTGACTTGACATCCAAAATATTACATATTAACATCCAAAAAGTAACAAATTTTAAATTATAAACCTAGTTAGAAAATATGAAATTATGAATTACCTTTTTAATTGAAATAAATAATGTACATATATGTGTGCATATAGCAAGCTACCTTTTTAACTTTTTGATTTTTTATCCTATTTATGGCGTTAGTTCTATATATTTAATAATTTTATAGACGGTCTGAATGACATAAAATGCAACTTTATCTTTTATGTTTTGTTTTGTTTTAGTAAAACTCCAATGGAGAATTACAAGGTGGATTTATAGCGACGATCAACTTTACCAATTGCATACATGTAAAAGAACAAACGACAAACAATAAACACTAATTTTTCATAATTTTAAAAAACAATAAACACTTTCTTTCAAATAATAGCCTTAGAATTTTCTATTACAAATCAAAATCTTTTAAAAAATTTGTATTTAATTTTAACAAATTTTCTATTTTAGAGATTTTAATATTTATTATATTATTAAAATATTTTATACATTTATCATCTCAATATACTTTAAAAAATTATATTAAATAATAACAATTTAATGCATGAATGAAATTGTTATGTCTCTGTGTAGAAAGTTTTAGATAATTTTTTAAATGTAAAGTTTTCCCTATTTAAGACAACAATATAGAGAATTTGTTGAGACAAAATAAAAAACAAAACCTCTCCCTCTGCATTGCCTAAAATTAGATTATTTGACAACAACCCTACTAACCGACATCAGATTAAGGATTCATTTACCAAACACTTGTGAGGATGGAGCAGAATACCTAGAGGCGTAAGACAACTATATGTAAGAAACTTGGCAAAATGATCAGTAACTAAGACGAATCTAATATGAATTAAACAGAAAATATTCAAAAAACAGTGTTCTCTTTATCCCTCCAGCCTAGGAGGAAAGATCATGCTTTTAGACGAGAACCAAAAACCATACCCTGTAAGTGGCATAGCAAAGATAAAAAATCTTACCCATGACTTACCCGGTTAGCGCTTATCCGTTAAGAGACACTTACCGACAAACAATTTTGATAGCCAAGAATGTCATACCCGATTCAGTGAGGACGGTGACTTTTGACAATAAACACTTACCTGGTAAACATTTGGTAAAACGGCCCCTAAGGTTCCATTGAACAATCATCCTCATGGGTCGGCTTGGATTGGATTTGTTTAAACAATAATAAAAATAGGAAGGTGGGAAAAATGATTGAGTTTGGCATATGAAGATGCTTATTTACAAGAGACCTTTGTATCATGCAAAAATATCAGCACCGGAATCATAATCCAACACAATAATACTTCTTTCTAAAATCTACCTCATTTTCTCATTTCAGCAGCAGCAGCAGCATCTGTAATGTCTATGTCTTCCAAACCGGTTGCCAATGATGAAGAAGAACCACACTTCCCATTTCTTTTCTCCCCTCCATCCTCATCAGATGACAACGACTCATCTTCATTTAACGAACCCCTTTTCCTCTGCTGCATTTCTTTCACTTTACGGAACTCATCATAGTGAGCACGTCTCTGCTCTCTAAACCAAGCGCTGCTTTTCCCCGTTTCAGAATCTGTTCATTATTCCACAACTCACTCTTCTCATCTACAATAATTATAGACATTTTCTCAAATAATAGAAGATATATTCACCTTCGTCATCATGATCCATGTAATCTGCTTCATCCTCCGATGATGTCCACCCAGAACGTCGCAAATTATTGCTACTACTAGAAGACGATGCCACATCATTCAATGCAGACCGAATTGCTTCAGCATGCACGCTACTATCACCCTCAGAACCCCGTATTGGAGACAAAGATCCTGCAAACATAGGGTTTATTAGCTCACCTGACACCAACAAATGTATTCTCAAAAACAATTGCACATTTTCAATTTCAGAAAACAAATCTTGCAATAACATTCAAGTTGTTGGCAAGATGGATTTCTTTTCAAAAGCAATATATAGGTATTCCGAGAACATGCAAGAGTATCAATTTATGCTTTATTTTCTTTGGCTTGCATATTAGAGCATTAAATGTTAAAAGTAAAAGCATGGTCCACTGAAATAGTTAATAGATAGGATTCCCTTTGGTATCCTTTATCCTTGTATGAAAAAGTTGAGAGAGACAACAAGAGAGTTCCATCCAAAACAACAATGCCGATTACATTTTCCCATTTTATAACATGCACATGGAGTTAAGGACAGTGTATGTCTATAGTTTCAACATTTCCACTCCCAACAGAAAAAGAAAACTGGAGTGAAACAAGAGACAAAGGCTCTTTTGATCATGCTCCCAAGTTAGGTTTGCAAAGTTTACTTCATTAAAATTCAACACATCTTGGAGATGAGTAGAGAGGGAGCAAGGGAAGGAAGTTTTTTGGTAGGGCCATATGTGGCACGTAACTATCCTATTTTGTCATGATGAAAGAAGAAAGTGAGATGCTCTATTACGAAAACATGGAAATTTGATCTGCAATTCCCATTGTTTTCTTTCCGTTCTAGAAATATATAAATACATACAAGGATTTCTGACTTTGGCATCCCAAAATAGATATAGACACAAATCACTAGCATCCAGCTGTCGTGCATTTAATAAATTGATATAATACTAAGATAACCTCATTAAAATCTCAGCATGTCTCTTTTTTTCTTATTATGAACTTTCATGATGTTGTGCAAACTTTCAATATAAACATTGAATAACAAATATTACGACAAAACAAAAAGAAAAAGGAAGGAAGACTACATCATCATTCTAGACTACGATAGACCACTGTTCAGTGTAATAGTGAAAAATTTGTACATCAAAGCTACTAACATCTTCAGAAATAGTGAACTTAGGACGTCACTCTTAAAGCAACGGCTAAACCATTAGGTTATGCTTTACCACAGTTTGTCTAACACACATAAGGAAGGACAATCAGTCAGCAAGATAAAAATGACATAACTAACCTCTGACCTAGAAAAAGCCAAAATAATACTTGCAACATACATAAATTTGAGTGGCAGAGAAGACATATTAGTTTACCATCAACATCAACCATAGGATGATATGGAGTCTTTGGTTCGGTAATTTTTTGCCTTACAGGTTTATTTGCTTCAATTTCTCCCAGATTTGCTTCATCCCATCTCACACCTTTCCTACTGCAACAGAGATGATCATACAAGGACAGATCCACAACATCAAAAAACAATTATGAAATTCACAACTGTATCCAAAAAAGGGCATCTATTGAACATATGAAACAGGTGTAGACATCAGTAAAGATGGATGGTCTCTTACAGCATCTGTGAATTAGAGATGGGAATAAAAAAGCTCCAATCTTAGAGATAAAAGGGATTTCACATTTTTGGATCAAGAGAATGCATACACCCCCTTGCTGGCCCATACAACCAATGGTAAGGGAGAGGGTGAATAATAAACAGATGGTCTTCATTGGGTTAGTACCATTCATCCTGCATCTAGTCTGCTTCCGGGGGAGTTTAGGTTGCTATATTTTGCCTTGAACTAAGAAAGCATTGATATTTACGTACATAAAAATTCTGCTTTCAGGTAGCTATAGAGAGGTAGTCTCCTTTCCCTCTTTCTATCCTAAATAACAAGTTTGGTGCCTTCATTTGTCCAAGTTCTTTACACACAAAAGTATACATCAGCAAGAACAGAAAAATGTTGACTGATAATTAAAGGGATTCCACCAGCATGTAACTTGTGAACCTGTGTACAAAGCTCTGACCTATATCCATTCTCAATATAAACTTGACTAATTTTCTGCTCACAGTGGCAACTATTGCCCTAATGTACATCTCTTACCGATCATTGAATACAAAAGCAGTCAACTCACTTACTCAGACAAAGCTTAAGGACAGAAGCAGAGCTGACACCATCTCTAGATCAACCCATGTGCTTAGTCTCATCATTGAAGGGTTATAGCCCTGCATAAAGACACCCCACAAGAAGATAACCTCTACAATGTAATCACACTAGTGAATAGTGATAAGTCCAAGCACTCCATCCATTCCTTGACCACGTGATTCTAAAGGCATCTTCTTGCACAACATCATGAAAGTTCATAAGACGCAACTACAACAAGCTCTGTATCCTAAACTAGTTCAGGTAGGCTATAAATGTACCCAAAAGAAAATGTGTATCAAGAGTTTCAAAAAACCAGATATGAATATAAGTTCGGATCTTGATTAGTTAGCAATTACTGATAGAACAGGATTCTATGGTCAGTCAGTGACCCCTGGATGCCGAAGGCGTCCTTGGGGTAATCTCATAGTTCCTACGCGATCCATAGGATTAATTGTGGATACAACACAAAAAAGTTTTTTATTCTTAATTAATTAACCCTCATCGGGGAGTGAAATAGAACATRAAACCGTAAGCTCCCAAGCAGTGGTCAGAGGACAAAATGACAAGATGAGGTGCCCTGGGCACCCCCATTAGATAGAATTATAGATAAAGTGAAACATATGCTATATCTATCAGATTCACATGAGGTGAACCAGTAGTCATCAACATATTTTGTCTCATCCATAGTTCTATCTAGCGAACAATCTTCACGTGAAAATAAAGACCAAGAAAACATCATCACAAGAAAAGATGTATTATTATCTTACAAGGCATGTATCAACGAGTTTTACCTCATATCTCCTCTTGTTCACCTGAGACCTAAATTTCGCCAGTATCTGAGCAACCTGATTGCAGAGGGAAAAAATTTAAAAAAAAAAATCAGTCACATTGTTCTCTAACAGATTTTGGCTATTTTAATGATAAGAAGGCAACAACAACAGAATTTATTTGTGAAGCTTGGGTATTTGGACTTAATTGAGGGAACCCCGTATACTGTATACTAATGATCTAATGCATAAAAGGGATCACCGGAAACAAGCAGCAAAAATACGCACACAAAGACAGAAGACCTTTATGATTTTTGATGTAGAAGCACTGTTACTGTAGCCATATAACAAAACAACGATATTTGTTAACTTACAACACTAAATGCTATCGGAAAGTGCATTAAAGCCCAAAAAGTGCAAAATGGGATGAGCAACCTATGGAGATATTTATCTTGTTTTCACAGAACTTCAAGTTTTATGATCAACCCCAATACCATATCTTTAATTGATCAAAGGCTTTGACATAAAGGACCACCTTCAAGATTATACAATTATCCTCAACTGTTTTCACTGGTGGTTGAAATCTAATCGCTGAGTGGACATAATCACGAAGTTGATGTGTGTAAACATGAATTACAGAAATAGTGCTTATCCTTCTTCAACCCGCTATCTCATTAAGAGATGATTAGGGTCATGCTTGTAAAGCTTTTGGCATTCTGGATAAACAACAATCGCTCAAAACCCAAGTTATTCGCGTGTAACCAGAAGAATGTCATCTGAATGGCATAAGAGATAAGACAGTGAATTAAGCCTGCAAAAAGCACGAATTCCACTTGAGTTCATACATTAAGACATTAATAGGTCATGCCTGTAAAGTTTTTGGCAATCTGGATAAACAACAATCGCCTAAAAACCTAAGTTATTCGCGTGTAACCAAAAGAATGTCATCAGAATGGTATACGACACTGAATTAGACCTACAAACATCACCAATTCCACTCGAGTTCATACATGAACAAAAACAATCGATAAGACCTAAGTTGCATCCATATAAGAAACCACGTAAAGAAAACAAATTAAGAAGCACCAAGTCGAACATCATAAACAGATTCTCCTGCCATAAACACGATATGAAGGAGAAAATTAGGAGGGAGACGTATGGATCGAACATCATTACCGAAGCGAAAGGAAATGATTGCGCCGTTGAGACGGCGGCGAGACACTCGCCGGTGGTGGTTGTTGCTCGAAATATAGATTCGCGAAAATAACGATTAGCCCTATTTTCCTTCTTATATTTGCTTTTCCAATTTTGCCCCCATATAGTTCCGATGCTTTTTTACTAAAAAGGTGAACAGATTTTGTTGGTCAAAATTCTTCAATTTTTATGTGCTTTTTATCGGATAATACATTATTTTTAGAGTAAATTACAGATTTGGTCCCTATGGTTCGGTGGTTTTTACAAAAATGTTTCTTCAACTTCATTTATTACAACTCATGGTATGTTGTTCTATAACGAACTGGTCCCTCCCTCTGATGGTCATTCAATTCATCCGTTAATGTTGAGAACATTTTCGTACTTTTTTTTGTCTTTACTCAAGGGACCAATTTCGTACAAACCACACAAATCACAGAGACCAAATCCATGATTAAGCCTAAAAAAAATTAATTTTTCTATTTTGAATTTATTATATTAATTAATTATTATACTTTAATTTTTTCCTAAAAAATATGTATTATGTATACACACACATATATATATATATATATATATATATATATACTAGTTGTGTACCCGCGCAATGCGGCGGGAGCCATGAATTTTAACGATAATATAGGTTACACTTGATCTTTACATATTAATACAATTTGAATAAATAAGAGTTATGGTTCTAATTACAGACTATCGATGAAAAAAATTGTATGACAGTTTAAAATCCAATATATGTAAAATTCAACATATTTAAATGACTCCACAAATGTGTTCGATTTACACCAAGAGCAAAGAACCAAAAAACTTGAGTTTTAAGATAAACACTCAAAACCAATAAAGAAAACWACAAATTTGACAGATCATAAGCTAAAAAAAGACCCAAAAAAATGGGTTTTATAATGAAATTTCAACTGCTTACCCT